CTAAGGATGGTGTAAAATAGATTCACTAATGTGTGCCTCTCAAATGCTTTCTGTGGCTGAGACTCGCCTGTGTTGTCTTCTGTCACAGCACACCCCTGCTTGCCTTCCTTCTTTGTTACACAAGCATTTTCAATTTTATTGAAATGGCATCTTCAATGACTATGGGTGATAAGATTTCATTTATTTTTTGTTTTTAAAGTAGGGTTTCATTATGTACCTGAGCTGCCCTCAAATTCATGAGCTGCCCTCAAATTCATGATCCTCTTATTATGAACCCCACCTGGTTGCTGGGTTTAGAAATGTGCACTGTCCCATCTGACTGGACTTTTACATCTTCATCCTGGATCACCATTCTCATTATTTCCTGTATTTCTTTAGCTTTATCACTTTTATCTGCAAGTCTATATGCTAACTGCTGTTTGACTTATGAGTATGGCCTTAACAACCTATATTCCATTTAAGGGGAATAGTTGAACTGGAAGGATTAAATGGATTAGAGGATGGGTGGGCAGAGAAGAGCATGTGGAGATGGATGACCAGTACTATAGGCCTTTTGAGAAGTCCATATAGGAATCTACCTCAGTAGATGGCTTCCTAAAATATACATATGTACATATTTAAAAGGAGTTCACAGCCAGTAACAGAGAGGGAGGACTGATGACCAAAGGAGTTAAGACTGGGCTGTTTTAACCCCAGAAACAGCTGACCTGACAAGGGTTAACTCTTGAATCCCAGGCTGATGCCTAGAAATCCAACATGGGACTGATCAAGACCCCCTGAATGGGCGTGTCAGTGAGGAGGCCTAGGTAATCTATTGAGCCTTGGGCAGTAGATCAGTATTCATTCCAAGTATACACATGGACTTTGGACTCCCATCCAACAATGTGAGATGAACTTTTACCCTGAACTCTTGGGGGGAGGGTCTAGGCCCTGTACTGGATGAAATGACAGTCTATGGACACCCCCATGGAGGGCCTCACCCTCCCTGGGGAAATGAGGGGATAATGGGGGAGTTGGGGGAGGGCACGGGAGGAGGGGAGGGAAACGGAGAGGGATGTGGGACTGACTTGTGAACCAACCATGTTTCTAATCTAAATTTAAACTTAAAAATAAAAAAAATTAATAACAAAAAAGGAGTTCACATGAAGTTACCCAAAAATGAGGGCTCAATACTCCTCAAAGATATCACATATTAGAAAACACAAATTCTAGCATCCCAAATGAGCTACCTTTAAAAAAATTGTTGGTCAGTGGGGTTGCATGGACCCTAAACATTACAAGCCATCACCATTGCTCTTGGTTACCCTACAAAAGTTAGTGATGAAATAATACTGGTCCTGAACTGAAACTCCCATTCCATGTAGTTAGCTTTCACATCACTGGTAGGTGCTATGCATGCTACCAGAAGGAAAAAGTCAGCATCAGTCTTACTCAGCTGTGATTCAATGAACTAGAATAATGCCTGTCATGGCAAGACATGTCCACTGGTACATTAGTGGGCACAGTGTATCTAAAGCCTCTTTCATGACACTTGTAGTGGTTTGATTGAGAATGGCCCTACATAGACTTATATATTTGAATACATGGTCTCCAGTTGGTAGAACTATTTGAGTGTTTGGGGAGTATGGCCCCCAAGGGGGGGAGGAGGTGTGTCACTGGGTTGGGTTTTGAAATTTCAAAAGACTTGCCACCATGTCCTTGTTCTACCATCATGGATCCTAATCCTCTCAAATTTTAATCCCATTTTTTTAAATGCTTTCTTTTACAAGTTGCCTTGGTCATGGTGCCGTATTGCAGCAATAGAAAAGTAACCAAGAAAGATTTAAGACTCCTGGCACCATTATCTGGCCAAGAACTCATGGATAGACAGGTGAGGGTCCTATTATTATTATTCTGCTGTGTGCGTACAGATTACAATAATTTCTGGTGGCTCATTGCTCCTCCCATGTGTCAATGCATCTCAAAAACCACCATCAGGGAAACTTCTTTCTACAGCGGATAGAGATCTGCCACTGAGCAACACTGAGAGGACACAGAATGTTCAGCCCTAAATGAGACATTTATACCACACCTCTTTCACCAAGGCTACTGGAACATTACATGCTGCAAACACAAAGAAAATATAAGTGCCCAAGGTAGCAGATTTATCAGATGTGTTTATCTGATTGTTAAATATCACAGGCAGGTATCAAAGTGTCAGCACTATAGGACAAAAAAAGGTGGAAGGTCTGTATGTTCTGAAGAGAAACCAGAGTATGTACACTGTACCGTAATAAATATGTACAAAGATTATATATGATTTTCTAAAAGAAAGGTCACTCTTACACATAACTTTTCTGAAAATGGGTCAAAAGACACTCATAGTCTTGCCCCATATCCAGAAGGAAGGAACTTCATATAAAGTGTCAACCAGAAAACATGGAAGCATGGGGAGGCGGGCACTGCTGAGCATCCTCAGTTTATTGCTATTCTATCTCACTTCTCTCAATTCACTGTGACCACACAAATACCCACATCCCTCGTCAGACCTGACACAAAAGTCAGCTCTCTTTGACTCTGGGTTCTCATTTCTAGAGCTTTCTTTGTTGTACAAAACTAATTAATTTGTCCTTTTACTAATGTGACTTTGGTTTTGTTTTTGTTACAGGACTGTTAGCCTTGATACATGGAATGAGTGCAGAAAACATACCAATTTTTCTTCCTTAATTTACAAAGTTAGAGATACAAAAATAAAATACATCTATTATTCTATGAGACTAGGCCAGGAACTCATGCTATATTACTTTTTTCTTTTCCTTTGTTTTTGAGTATAGAAAATTAAATATCATATTTTCACATATACATTCTATATATTGACGTAGTTTAGGTTCAACAAAAATGTTTTAATAGGCTTAAGTATGTGGGTTAAGAAAAAAGAGAGATGGGACTAAAGAGACGGCTCAGTGGTTAAGAGCACTGGCTGCTCTTCCAGAGGTCCTGAGTTCAAATCCCAGAAACCACATGGTAGCTCACAACCATATGTAATGATATCTGGTGCCCTCTTCTGGCCTGCAGACATACATGCAGGCAGGACACTATATACATAATAAAAACTATATACATAATAAAAAGGACACTATATACATAATAAAAAAGAAAAATAGAGACATTAAAAAAAGTAAGAGACACTGGAGAATAGGTCTGGGCTTTCTTCTAAGAGAGAAGTGCATGGAATTGTTTTTGATATAAGTTAATACTTTGTATTCTGTGGGAAGATCAAACTCTCAATCCTCTCACCAGCTGAGAGCTGGAATTGTGGGAGGGTGCTTTGGCAACAGGCTAAACATTTATCTTTTTAAATCGTTAATTAGTTTGGCATGTGATCTTAACTACCAAGCATTGTTCCTAATTATGATCATGATTTTAGCCTACCTACTTTTAGAATTTCAAATGATAATACATTCAATATGGGCCACTTCTAATTGTGAAATAGGCAACATTCACTATTGGCTATTATTAGGTGTTTCTAATTATATTAAACCTGAATTATTCCAGGACACTAGGGTATTCATTTACCCAGTAACTCAAGTACTATGTGGTTTTCCCAATTTGCCTCTTGACACCTCCCCAGCACTCACCGTAGTTCATTGGCTGTCATTCGTGACTTACCACTGCCCGCTGCCTTGGACGGTACCGAGTTCTTTCACATCTTCAGTTTATGCTGCCTTTCTTCTGTTTTGTGCCTGTCCCCAGAGATGCCATATTTCAACCAAAATGTCATTCCATTAATGTTAAGGATGCATGCCAGATTAGGTCTTCCTGTTACACACTAAGAATCTTTTCCTATATAGTGTTTATAACACATGTCACATTGAATTATATTTTTTGTCTTGATTTAATTAAAATCTTCCTTCTGCTACTTTCCACTGACATTGCTTGTCAATTCATTTTAGAGTCAATAAAGAACACAGAAATCTGTGTATCTGGATGATTCAAATGAAAAATATTTAAAGAACTGTACATGGTATCTTCTATAAGTTACTATATGCCTTCATATTTTCCCATGGCTTTTGAAAAAAGTCTGTGTTTTATTGTGTATATCTGTGTCCTCTGCACTATTCTTTGTTTTATCTGTGGCAAGAAGGGTAGATTCAGCAGTAGCTTGTTACTGGTCACTGGTAAACAGGTTCATACAAAATGCTTACTAAAACTAACCTACATTTATACTGAAATTTGTTCAAGAACAGAAAGGTTGAAAGTAATTCTGTAGGCTATGCATAATAACATCAAAGTTGAATATACTAAGAAGTTAACTAAATTTGCAAATCTATAAACAGGTTTCTAAAGTAAAATTACAGGAGGTTTCGATTTTGGGGTGATCTCCTTTATAAGATCCAACTAAAATGGAGTCATTTGGGCTCAGTCACAAGCTAGAAAATTGAAATGTCAAGGAAGGTACAAAATCGCCAAGGAACCCACATTTTACCAGAAATGTGAGATTCATATACACGAGTGAGAAAGACCCCAGCTATTCTGGGAACATTAACCCTTACAGGGAAGGTAACCCGACTATAACCAACATCACTTTCTACATCATTGCTTCCTTTGTCTGCTCAAGATTCCTTCAAAACCAACTCTCTCATTATGTGTACTGAGAGTTCCTTCTACTTTGAGAGGGAATCTGTCACATTCAGGAATTAGATAATGAAAGCCAAATGGATCAGTAACTTAAGATTATTTGAATTCTTTAATGGTTCCACTGAAAGAGATTCTATGTGATAAACATCAGGTTTGGCAATCAGTTTTCACCCAGGTGGGATTGGTAATACTTCCCTGAATTATTTAAGTAGGTATATTGTTTTTTTTTTTTATTGTTTCATCATTTTTTTCTCATAGTCTTCCTGGGTATCTTGAATTTTTTTTTGTTACTTGTTGGGGAAGTCTTATGCTAATAAAGCACTGTCTGGCCAATAGGAATCTAGATAGGTGGGGCTAGGAATCCAGGAGGATTCTGGGTAGGAGAAACACAGGAGAGTCGACATGTAATGCCGGGTAGGAGCCCGGAAACTTCTCCGGTAAGAGACATACTTAGATTAACAATTATGGGGTAATTACTTAAAGCAGAGCTAGCCAGTAAGAGACAAGCAAGGCCAACAGCTTCATAATTAATATAGCCTCCTGTGTGTTTATTTGGGACTATTGCGGATATAGAACCAGGCTGGCACGGCAGAGCCCAGGTGACTGGCGGGGGATAAACCAAAGTGGCTAGCAAAAGAAAAAGCTTCTCTTAACAGAATGGTGTCAGAAGTGGGATCATGAATTTCCACGCAAAATAACAAAAGCTTTAAAGGAATTTTAGAACAGAAGAACAGAGAGAAGCACAGGTTATTGGTAGCAGCATTTTTCTCAGGTGTGCTCTGTTTTGCTATCAACAAGCCGAGATTCACGTGGCTCGTTTACCGGAGTCTTCCTGACTCAGCATAAAAAGAAAAAAAAAAAACAGCAAGGTTGTTTTAAGAGACTCTGCTAACGATTGAAAAGTGTGTACGTACAGCTGGAAGTGGCAGCTTTTGCTGGATGTCAGCATGGACTGAGGCGGTAAGCTGAAATCACGCTTACGCCCGCCATCTTGAAACGGCAGTTTAAAACAGCCACGGTTTTACAGATAAGACACGTGGCCAGAAAAATGTAAAGATTTACAGTAAAGTCAGACTTGGATAAAGGAAAGCCTCTAAAGGTTTACAGTGTGTTTAAAAATATACTTGAGATTGAGAGAGAAAATGAAACGACAAAGTGGTATATAAATACAAAAGCCGCCGTTGTGGTGTCGCACGCTGGTAGGATTTACTCCAGAGGCAGAGGCAGGCAGATTTCCAAACAGAAATCCTGTCTCAAAGAAAAATAAATAAAGTAATAATAGATAAATAAATAAGCCACGTAAAGATGGAAAATACACAGAGAGTCTGGATACTGTACGCTATTGCGTTTTCCAGTTTTTTGCTTGCTCAGGAAGGAACTGCTACTAAAGTACACTTGATTATAAATGCTGCTAAATTAATACAACTTATATCTTTTGAAAATACCTTGACTTCAAAATTTAAGCATAAGGATATGTTACTCGGAAAAGGAATTTTTATTTATGTTTCTACAGAAAATGAAAAGCTAAGGATTCCTTCCAGGCTTTTGTGGTTTGACGAACCAAGACCCCTGGAAGCAGTGGACCAGGTGTTCCAATAATCGAAACAGCGAAGATGATGCAGTCTTACAGACCCCGAAAATATGGACTTATACAGGTTTCTGAGTTTTGTCATGATCCCCATGGTATAAACAGCGCCCCCTTCCAGCAGGAAGCAGTTTGGAATGAGCGACGTCCCAATTCCCATCTTGTTTATAAATCTTTGTTTTCATTTAAATGGGATTGTTTATAATTGGCTAGTGATCACAGCCAATCTTTTTTAATGGTAAAAAGGGGAATTATGGTATGGGTATTGTTTTTCATTTATTGAGACAAAATCAAGGTCAATTTTGTGATGCTTATATTTCTCCTCTTGATTAAGTATTGTGCTTATACTGATTTTTTACAACATAATGTATAATTGAATACAGACTATAGATAGTTACTTATAATAGAATTTCTAGTTACATAAGTTAGGTTTCTAGATATACAGAAATATATTTGAGATGGACAGTCTTCAAACCTCTCAAAGACCTTCAGAACATGGCATTTAAAATGGTTTAGGGTTTGTCTTGACAATGAGAAATGTCTGCTCCTGGCAGCACCAATTACGTCTGAGAGGAAGATGGGCATCAAAGAAACTCGTTATAAAGCTTGCTTTCAACATGGCAAGATTAGCCATTTGGGCAAGAAACTGCTCTTGCCTAGATTGTTTGACTGTTGTTGTATCATCTGAACATGCAGGACCCACAGGAAAATGACTACTGAACTCAGTCTTACAGGGTTCCTGCTTGATGAAGAGTCTACGAGACTTTCTGCAGGACAAAGAAAAATGACTGACAGACTGCCAACGCAGATGGACAGTTTGAAATTTCCTGCTTTGCTGAGAAGTGTTCCAGACACATTGTGGCCTATGGGCTGAATATGGATGCCCCAACGTTACAGAGGAACTTCGGGTGACTGTCCAGGCAGTAAGATGTCTCTGTCAATCCTAGTGTTTATATATTATCCTTCTGTGGTCTTTGATGGAGTTGAAGACAGATAGTTATAATTATAGTTTTACTTAGTTATGATAAAAGATAAGCTGCATATAGGACTTTGGACTCACAAGGATGGGATGGATGATATTTTCTTTAAATCTTGCTAAAATATTGTAACTATGTTCTTATTTGATAACTGTTCTGTTATATACAATTTGACTGTGTTAAAGTTAAGACCTTTCTTTTTGTTTAAACAGAAAAGAGGAGATGTTGGGGAAGTCTTATGCTAATAAAGCACTGTCTGGCCAATAGGAATCTAGATAGGTGGGGCTAGGAATCCAGGAGGATTCTGGGTAGGAGAAACACAGGAGAGTCGACATGTAATGCCGGGTAGGAGCCCGGAAACTTCTCCGGTAAGAGACATACTTAGATTAACAATTATGGGGTAATTACTTAAAGCAGAGCTAGCCAGTAAGAGATAAGCAAGGCCAACAGCTTCATAATTAATATAGCCTCCTGTGTGTTTATTTGGGACTATTGCGGATATAGAACCAGGCTGGCGCGGCAGAGCCCAGGTGACTGGCAGGGGATAAACCAAAGCGGCTATCAAAAGAAAAAGCTTCTCTTAACAGTTACTTTTTCTGGATGCTCATAAGAGTAGCCTTGGTAAGGCTCTGGTTGTTCATTAACTATTTTACAAGAGAAGGTTCTTATCATGTAACCTAATGGACTCTTACTTCTACTGTCCAAGTGTTCTTGAACTCTTAGAACATAAATTCTTATCATGGAACCTTAATTCTATATTTTACTCTCCTTGGGTTGTCTCTTTGTTTAATCACTAAGTTAAATTCCTTAACTATTTCTACTGTTAATTTTTACATTAAACCCCGCTTCCTTTTTCCCTTGCTCCTTTAGTAACACCACATACCCCCACAAGCTTTGGAGACCTCTTCATTACCTCCTACAGTCACCAGAGCTGTTTCTCAGACAGAAGGATCATAATGAATCTCCCAATGGGCATTTTGTTCACTTTGTTTTCACAGTAAAAGGTAAAGTGGATTATTTATTCCTCTTTGTTTCAAGGAACAAAACTGAGTACAAAAGAGTTCTGAAGAAAACTGCTGTGCTGGATATTTTTACTAAAATATTCAATAATTATTGTTTAGTTACATGACTTTATGTGTGAGTAAAGATTATTCTTACTGTGGATAATAGCTACTATATTAATAGGAACCAACAGTTGCTATTTTGTGAGCTTAAATAGTTTAAATATCTTTAAGAGTTTAAATTTGTGAATAATCTATGATTTTTTGTTATCAAGGTTACAGGTTAGACTATAATTTTCTGGTTTAAAAACAATGCTAACTTTAGCCACAGTTAACAGAGAAAGCCAATCCATGGGCTCTATCCATGGATCACAAGTTAATAATTCCTTCTTTTAAGCATAATGGGTCTACAGCAAGCAGCCATGCAAATAATGCATTCATCCTATAAATATTTATTGTACATGGTAATGTACTGAGGATTGAAGCTTGTGATTGGTTCTTGAGAAATTTGTATTCGAGTGAAGATATACATGCAAATAAAGCATGAAACCAGATCTTATAGCTGGGTTTTTTATATGCTGTTAAGTATTAAACATTGCTTAAGTGACAGGGAAAAAAATACAGAGAAGAAGAGAATGTTAAGTAGGCATCTGGGTTGTATATTCAGGCTTGCCTTTTCAGCGGGGAACACTGGCAGAATTACAGAGAACCAAATCATTTGGAGACTAATAAAGATAATAAGAATTATGATAATGATGATGATGATGAGTATTTAGAAGAGGAGAAGATGGGAAATGTTGCTGATAGAGGATAAGGAACTAAGAAAAATTTTCCAGGTTCTACTTGGGCTAATGCATGGACAGTAACATGGTTTGTCGAACTCAAGCATGTAGGAAATTCTGGCAGCATGGAAAAGTAATATATTAGATTTTGTAAGTGGAAATTTGAAGCATTAGATGGAAGTGTTCAGAAACTGACTGAAATGACAGAAATGAATATGGACAGTGTAGGAGTTCATGTTATCTATTTCATTTTAATCACTAGAGAGGGTGAGGTTATTGAGTAGAGAAAATAGAAAAGAACAGAGAACCAAGGGCGGGGCTGGAGAATGCAGTGGCGTTTAAGGAGTAGCAGGGGGAACAGGAAACCGTGAAACCAGCCAGTGATAAGGGTAGGAGGTAGACAAGAGCTGGGTATCAGCAGTGATTTTCACTTTGTCCCTTCGCTATTATTTCTACCACTACCCCACTCCTTTCACCCGTATTCAGTGTCCACACTTGAAATTGTGAAAGTTCCTATCGGGTATATTTACAAACAACCACTATCAAAGAAATCGGCAGAGATTTCCCATAGCAGCCTACATTCTTAGCTTGTAAACATGTGATATGTGTGCACAAAACACTACTATTTGATTTGTGAAAAACGAAAACAACAAAACAGGAAAATAAAGCCATGATGTAGATGGCATTATTCTCTTGTGCATGTTCTTTTGGCCACCATATTCTACCTTCTGTGATTAGTTTTGCAGATAGCTTTTGGACATTTATGATTTAACATTTTCCTACCAAGTGCTATTTCGTCATGAAGACACAATTTCTTATTATTTCCCATTTGCATTGATAAGTAAAAATAGTATTGGCATCACACTCTCTTGTGGTTGCAGCTGTTTATTATTACCTTGTTCAGCTTCTCAGTCATCATTCCTCATACTAGGAGACAAATTACTTTTCTGTGCACACTCAGAAATAGATGCTGGAGGTCTCTGCATATGATATTTCTTTTCACAGATGTTGGTATGGACATGAATCAGATTTGACAAGACATCAAAATGGCAACCTGCTAAGTCCTTTTCAATTGCATATGGTATTTAAAATAGACTTTAAATGTTCTATTTATGTAAGGTATTGGTTTGTCTTTGCTGGTCTATCAGTCTTCTCTGAGTCATTTGTTTAGTTTTATTTTTAAAGTCTTTATAACATTTTGATGATTTTTGTATATTAATCTCTCTTTCAGAGTTTTTTCTAATAAGATTAAGTTTATGTAAGTAGAAGTATAGACATATCATAGATATATATAGCCTCACAGTCTTAGGACATGAAGAATAAATTATCTACATCATGAAAATATGGTGAGTTCACAAAATTTCTAATTTTCCCTCTTCTATTACTCAAATTCCTTTATTTATGTACAGCCAAATATATTCCTAAACAAAGTAAAACAGATTTAGCTTTTAAAATTTTTATGAAAAATTAAATATTTCTAATGAGATTTTATTTTCAGGGTTAGTCTCTGCTGTTTACTAGTTCTTTATGTATCCAGTGATATATCAGGCCTATTCATGCTTTCCATGTATTTTACTCCATTGTACAAATGAATCAAGACACATGAATCTGCTTTATCATTGATGGAATTTTATTTTTCTCCTGCTGTGTTGTTATTGACATTTGTGATCCACTTCCTAACATACACACTCTGTATGAATAATTTCCATAGTTAATATATAGATTAGGAATAGATTCAGTCTCCTGAGGTCCTGTGTATTTTCCACTTCAATAGATCACACCAGGAATTTTTCTATAGTAGTTTTACCAGTTCATTATCCTACAGGCATTGAAGAAGTCCTGCTAATTTACATTCTAACATAAGATGTCATCAAACATTTCTAGAATTGAACACTTTATTAACTCCTGCTTAGCAAGATTTCATATAGAGCCCATAAGAACTGACTCGGCTCAATGGTCTACTTTTTCATGTGCACAGTGGCCAGCTACAGATTTGTGTTAGGAAAGGTGCAGTTCTTCATTTTCCCACTTTTTATTTTGTGATTTCCAGGGATTATATTATTTAAATAGTTTCCCCTCCCACATCTCCCAGATCCTACCAACCTCCTCTCCACCCATCCAGGTTGATTTCTTTTTCTCCTGTTTTATAAACAAAACAGACAAATATTTTTAAAAAAGAAGTAAAACAACACTACAAAAAATCATAAGAAACACCCACACCACAAAAATAAAAAAATTGTAAACTATAATATACAAGCAAAGACAAGTAAGATTTAAAATTATGTTCAATCAAAGTGTTAGGAGACAAAAAAAAATCTTCAAAACACTATTGGGTTAATTTTTGCTGCCTATCTACTGCTGGGCACAAGGTCCACCTTGTTTTATTTTTTTTTATTTTATTATAAATAGCTTGTTTTACATGTCAATCCCAGTTCCCTCTACCTCCCCTCCTCCTGCACCCCCCACCATCTCCTCCATCCTCCCACCCTATTGTCAATTCCTTCCACATAGGGGATATCTAGAGTCTGTCATTTCACTCAGGGTAGGGTCCAGGCACTGCCCTAAGAGTCCAGGCAGAGAGAGCAACCCTCTTTGTGTTATGGGCACACGATGTCTGTTAGTATTCGAGGGATAAACACTGATCCACTGCTCAGGACCCCATAGGTAGCCCAGGCCTCCTCACTGACTCTCACATTCAGGGGGTCTGGACCAGTCCCATGCTGGCCTCCCAGCTGTCGGTCTGGGGTCCAAGAGCTCTCCCCTGTTCAGATCAGCTGTCTCTGCTGGTTTTGCCAGCCCATTCTTTGCCAATTTGCTCATCGCTCCTCTCTCTCTGTTGCTGGGTTCCTTGGGTTCTGTTCAGTATTTAACTGTGTGTGTTTGCCTCTGCTTCCATCAGTCACTGGATGAAGGCTGCAGGATGGTTATAGACATCAAGTTCACTATCAGGAATGGGCATTCGAGGTGGTCTCTACACTATTGCTTAGCTTGCCAATTGGTGTCATCCCTTTAGATCACTAGAGGTCACAATGGTGCCTGATCTGTCTTCTAACCTATGATTCCCTCTTCCCCCTATCCTACCCCCCCAGTCAACCCGTGGAGGAACAGGTCCACCTTGTTTTATATGCCCTGAATATAAACCTTCGGTCAACCGCACACTATAAAAATCCTCTGCCATTCTTATACTTGCAATGAAGCTTTTGATAAATGAGAGTCTTAACATTAGTCAAGCTTTCACATTTATTTTACTATTTATTATCATGTCTTGTCCACGATGGTATTCTATTGCAGTATCTTTATTCCTTCTCACATTTAGTTCTACACACTTTAGAAGTGTGAAGTAGGTTTTGATATCATTTGTCCAAATGAACAACTTCGCAGTTGTACTATGACTGTTTACTGTTGTTGTTTTAAAGAGCTCAAGATTCACATAGGCACTTGTATTTGCTAAGCAAGTGCAAATCACTACACTTCAAGCACTCGGGACCATTTATTGATACTCTGCAAGGCAGTCAGCTTTGTCATATGACAAATGTTATGTCACAGGGCTTGTAATTGGATCATCTGTTGTAGTCCTTGGCTCACAGCACCCTATATACTACTAAATGCCATTGAAAATAGGTAGATTTAACTCACCCTCTAATTAGTATTGCGTCTTTATTTAATTCCCATATTATATTTTTTATTATTATTGGATGTGTCTCTGAGTTATGAAGGATAAGACATGGCAGTTACCATGTAACATACAGCAGGAAGAAAGTTTAGGAGACTAAGTGAACTGGTTACTTTTGTTGTTAATGCGGCAAAAATATAAAATAGCTGGGCGTTGGTGGCACACGCCTTTAATCCCAGCACTCGGGAGGCAGAGGCAGGCGGATCTCTGTGAGTTCGAGGCCAGGCTGGACCGACAGCCTCCAAAACAGAGAAACCCTGTCTCGTAAAACCCCCCCAAAAAAATCTGTAAATTAAAGAAGAAAATTAATTTTGACTCATAGTTGAGGGTACAGTCCCTAATGGTGGGCAAGTCAGAGTGAGGTGAGTCATGCTGGGTCTTCAGGAAGAAAGCAGAGTGGTGAATGTTAGTGCTTACTTCACGTTTCTTCCTTCACTCTGGAAGTTAGGCTAGCTCTGCAGACTTCATTTATCCTAATCTAGATAACTCTCACAGGCATGGCCTTATGTCAGGCTCATGGGCCCTTTAAATCTGGACACTCAATGTTA